CCTATGTACACTGCACATATCTTATTTGTAGTGCAAAAACCATTTAAAAACAATACAATGATTAAAATGAAGAACATTTTTTAAAATATATTAATTTATTAGTATTTCAATAGGAAGTGCGGGCCTGCTTTTGGCTGATGTTGTGTGCTTTCAAGTAATTTCAGACTTAGGTTGACCCTGAGCGAGGGCCGGGTAAATGACCTTGGAGGGCCATATTTGGCCCTCGGGCCTTAGCAACCCCTGGTATAAAGGCTATCGCTTGCTTTGGGGTCTTTCCAACAAGAATGTGTCTTGGTACTTTTTCTGACATAATGGATAATTGAAGGAAGATGTTGACTCTAAGCTGGAATGTGTCCAGAGGAGGGCAACTAAAATGATCAAGGGTCTGGAGAACAAGCCCTACGAGGAGTGGCTTCAAGTGTTGGACATGCAGAAGAGAAGGCTGAGAGGAGACATAATGGCCATGAATAAATTTGTGAGGGGAAGTCATAGGGAGGAGGGAGCAGGCTTGTTTTCTGCTGCCCTGGAGACTAGGATGCAATGGAGCAATGGCTTCAAACTACAGGAAAGGAGATTCCACCTGAACATTAGGAAGGACTTCCTGACTGTGAGAGAGAGCTGTTCAGCAGTGGAACTCTCTGCCTCTGAGTGTGGTGGAGGCTCCTTCTTTGGAGGCTTTGAAGCCGAGGCTGGATGGTCATAATAATAATAATAATAATAATAATCATCATCATCATCATCATCATCATCATCATCATCATCATCATCATCATCATCATCATAATCAACCGGGCCTTAGTTTGAGGACCTATGATCTACCTCATATGGGAGCGGCATCCAAGTAACTGCCACAAAAGAGCCAAAGAGAAGATGGGAACCCAGACCTATTGCCTCTTCTGCGGGGACATTGAACTATGATAGAACATTTCATCTGAACCACCTTGTTGATGATCCAGTTGCCTTTCCATAGAGCATGTGTTTTATTTGTTTGAGCATGTAAGTGTTAACTGAAAAATGCAAGGTACAAAGCTGATTGGTTGGGCCACCATGCCCAGAGGCTAGCTGAGCCTGAGAGTTTTGGCAACAGTTACATGTTTAAGTTTTCTGTGCAGGAGCTTGCCAAGACAGTTTTGTAGTTTTTGCTTCTGGGCTGCTGGAAGACAGTCCTTCACATTAATATCTAAGGACCATTCGAATTTCTCTCAAAGACATTGTATGAGTCAGTACAACTGTTCTCATGACTATATATATATGTAGCTCTGCATAACAAAGAGTAAACATCTTATTCTTTACTGATCATCTGCATGGCATATTGTTTCTCTAACAAGACAGTGTGTGGATTAGTAAAGATGTGAACTACACGTGATTTTCATTCCACCACATTATTGAAGACACATCAGTGAGAGACCCTGTGCTGGAAATATTATCTCTGTACTCACAGTCTTTTCTCACCTGTAGAAAAATAACAGAAAAGTACAGACACCTGCAGCAAAGTACAGTGGCCAAGCACACCTTCTGCATCTCACTAGCTCCTGCTGCCTCTCTCCTTTTGAATAGTGTATTCATGTGTTCGATGTGAAGAGCCATTTCAATGGCAAGGTTTTTTCCTCCAGGTTTCTTAATGAATCCAGCACATGCCGTATCAATGGCCACATTTAGAAGTTCATCTCTTCACGGGGCTTCGACATATAACGGCTTGAATCTTGGCACTTCTTCATTGTACAGATGAAGCTGTGAGCGCATGCATCATGCACGTAGCTCCAGTCAGTTTGAAGTGCCTTTTTTGCCAGGATATTTTATTGAGCTGGAAGAAGATACGTGTGGCCTAATTCAGTGTCGCTTTGGGAAGGGAACGCAAAAGTTGTTTTTTGGGGAAGGGGGGACACAAGGGGCACTGAGCAGAGAGTCCTATCCTCCGCAGTGCTGAAGAACCAGAACCCTTTGCGTTCGTTAAATTAATTACTAATGGCTTATATCAGGGCATTTCTTCTCCTTTCATTTTTAAGTTGTTTTAAGTTAATTAAATGCCATCAGGCACACTTTAAAACCGTCTACAAAAAAATGAATTAGTTCTTCTTTTTTTAAGGAGGACTTTCCCATTTTATATCAATTTTCATTTTTAAAAGGTTTTCTCTATTCAAAGGAAACTCCAGAATGAGCAAAAGCCCGAGGTGTCCATAAACGGAAGCTTAATTTTATTGCATTTATCTCTATGGCTGCAATTAATTATTCAGAGTGTTCATTAAAATCACAGTCTTGGTAAGTGACACTTTTTAAAACAGGCATTCCGAGTTTATTGAAATGGAAGGATGTGGGTGATAAAAGAATCGGACATCCAGAAGAAGGGCCGTAAAGTGTCTGATGGGAGGTTTGGGGGAATTTTAGGCACCTAAAAGGGTTTTGGAAAGACATGAAGCAGTCCAGATTAGGATGCTCTCCATTGTGGGTCCCTTTGCGCCATTTGAATTGGAGCGGGGCGTTTGATACGCATACAAACAGATGCAGAAGCAGAGCTGACCTTTAGCAGAAGTGCCTACAGAATGCAGAAACATAGTTTTAAGAGAGCAAGCTGTGGATTACTTGACAGCACAGGTTGCATGTTCTTTATCTGATATTTCCTGAAGCTAAAATTATCAAAAGAGTCCAGCTGGTTCAAAATCAAGGCCTATCTTGTCTGACATCCTGTTCGCACAGTGACCAACCAGTTGCCTGCAGGAAATGTACCAGCAAGACATGAGTTCAACAACAGTCTCTCTCTTACATTCTCCTGTAATTGAGAGAGAGAGAGAGAGAGAGAGAGAGAGATGCCATCCCTGGAATCGCATGTGATATATCCTACACCAATGTCCTCAGCCTCCATGAATGACTCTACAGCCAGCCCTTCGCATTCTCTTGGGTTAAAGGCACAGGACACTTGTAAAAAAAGAAAAACACAAATAAAATGGCTTTTGTTTACAACCTGAGAGAACACCTCTAATTGCTAGGACTTCCAGCACATCTCTATGATCAACTTCTATAGAATCACACTGTAGATTCCTTGAGAAGTGTTCTCTTTAGAGATCGTTAGGTCTTCTTCCAGCATGACTGGAGGGCGTTGACCATTGAGTCACCCCATCGAGGCATACTGGAGGACCTAGAGATTCCTGTAAATGACATCAAATCCGTGAATCCACCAATGTCAAAACTGCAAATGTTGAGAGATGGCTCTACATCCCTTTTTAAACTTTCCAGGTTATCAGCCATCACTTTGCCTTGAGACCATGTATTACAAGATTAATTCCGCTTTGTGTGAACATAGTATTTATTGCATTGTCGAAGGCTTTCATGGCCAGAATCACTAGTTGGTTGTGGGTTTTCCGGGCTGTATGGCCATGTTCCAGAAGCATTCTCTCCTGACGTTTTGCCTGCATCTATGACAGACACCCTCAGAAGTTGTGAGGTCTCCTCACAATCTCTGAGGATGACCTAACAATCTCTGAGGATGCCTGCCACAGATGCAGGTGAAACATCAGGAAAGAATGCTTCTGGAACATGGCCATATAGCCCAAAAAACCTACAACAACATAGTACTTATTCTCCTATAATTGAACATTAGCAAGGATCTTGGAGTTTTGCTTGGATCTTAGTTGGAACAGGCTTCACGGGACATTGAGACCAATCCCATGCTATGCAGGAAAGTACAATTAAAACATGTCCTATAGAAGGTCATACAGTTCCTGTTTAAAGACCTCCAAAGAAGACGAACCCACCATATTTGGAGGCAGTCCGTTTCTAGAAAGAAAAGAAATTCCTAAAAATCAGGGGATGACCCAAACATTATGAAACTTGGTGAGCTAACAGTGGTAGATGTGTCCTCTAAGTGTGGCCATTTTCATCCAAATAGTCCTAAAAATGACAGGAAGGGGAGCCCAGGAAACCCCCTAATTGCAGCCAATGGGCCAAATCTTGCCGCATTTTTTGGCTACAGATTGAAAATGGCTTTTCAGACAATGGCCACTTTTGGAAGGTTCGCAAAAAACAGATCCGCTGGTCTGCTGAAATTCAGATAACAGAAATGGATCACAGTTCAGTCAAATTACACAAGCCTATGATGTACTACTTATGTTATTTTTCATCCAAGCTAAAGTGTACAACTCTTACTGGTGGGAAGTTCTTCCTAATGTTTAGGTGGAATCTCTTTTCTTGCAATTTCAGTCCATTGGTTTGTCTAAATCTCAGGACAATAGAAAACAAGCTTGCATCATCTTCCACATTGCCTCTCTTAAAATATTTCCAGATGTCTACCATACCATCTTCTAACCTTCTCTACGCTCCATTCCTTAAATTGTTCTTCTTTGGTTTCCAGACCTTTCACCATCTTAGTTTCATCTGGACTTGTTCCAGATCGCCCCTCTCTTTCTAGAGAGAAAAAGAGAAAAGCTTCTCCTTATCTGCATTCTGCAAACCATACATAATTGTATACGTCTTTATCAAGTCTTGCAAATACTTATCTTCATCTTCTCCTCACTCTCCCTTTTCTGCTCATAAAACAGCCCCATAACTTGTGTTCCTTTTTTATTTTTATTGGGAGGAGAACATAAATTATCTCTGTAGGAATGTGAGGCATTGTCAGATTTTGGGGCTATCCGCCTTGTTCTTCTCCTTCTGTATACTCTGAGTCGATTAGAAGGGGGAAAATAATAATTCTGCTAAAGGTCAAAGAGCATTACATAATTCCACTGGAGCAGTCAGCTCCTTGAAAGAATTATGAATTCTTGGAATGGTACAAATATCCTAATATGATGGATTACAAGCTTTCGTGTATGATACATAAGTAAACAGCCTTGAAACCAAAAAAGAAAAAAAAATGTGGAGAGGGGAGGGGACCCAACACATCTATGCCAATAATGCTTTCCATGGAAGAACAGATTAAAATTCCAAAAGCGGATTAATGAATGGTGGAAGAGCATTTCAGTTTTTTGCATTCTGTTATTTCTCTTTCTACTTTATTGTCTTTGCAGCGTTGTTCCACAGACAACAGTGATACTCAACAACGACCGCCAGAACTCCATTGTAGCCAAGATGGTCGGACAGGAAGAGCCATTGAACAGAACAACGGATTCACTGGACAATATCCTGAGCAGGTTAGTAACAACTATATGTTGGGAATCAAGAGCTGTTAGGCTCAAAAATAACCCTCTCTGGGGGTGATTCCACCAAAAATATAGCAGAGTGCAGGATGCACAGTTCATAAGCAGCAGAAACTTACATGCAGTGAGCAAGGATTAGTTTCCATTCAGTAGGATGGAACAGGACTGCAGATCCACAACTCATAGGATCAAAAATAATATATTTATTAAAGATAAAAGTAATCCATTCTAGATAGGAAAGGTTCTTGGAGCTGACTAGCTTCACTGAGCTATGTTCTTTTCCTTCTAAGGAAAAAGAAAAAGGAAAAATAATAAAAGTAACTATATCTACTACATCTTGCCTTAGACAATGGCAAGATGCCTCTTCACTCTAGAGAAGACAAAAGGAGAAGAGGCCAGAAAATGGAGACAGGCCACCTTTAAAAGAGGAAGTTATTTTTCCCTAAAGAGATCACATTCCTAGGTATTCAAAAGGGGAGGAGATAGTGCCATGCAAAGATGAGCAAGACAACCCCCCCCCCTTCTTAACCCCTTCTTAAAATCAACTAGCTAAAGAAAATTGGGGAGAAGTTCCTCAGTCTATCTATGAGTGCTGGAGACTTGTGCCATCAGGGATGAAACCCAACACTATTATAGTCTCTTCCTCCTATAAACACAGGTGGCATTCCTTCGCACCCAACTCAAGTCCAAATACCTGTGTTTACCGACGTTCTCAAGGTGGTGGCAGGAAGTGATGTTATGTCACTAATTGTTGCCATTTTGCGGAGAAGTGTGGAAACTCCTTCTTGAAATGTGAACAGAAAGTGATACAACAGCACAACAAACAAAGCAATTAGGGAGAGTATGGGGTTTGCGTTAGAGGACTGAGAGATGCCTAAAACTCTTCCATTTTCTTGGTAATGGATAACTGAATCTGTGGAAAAAAATATTTGCATTGTGCCCGGAGGCAAACTGGCAGCCAGTGGAGCTGGCGCAACAGAGGAGTTGTGCGCTCCCTGAGTGCCACTCCTGTTAACAATCTGGCTGCTGTGCGTTGGACCAGTTGAAGCTTTTGAACAGTCTTCAAAGGCAGCCCCACGTAGAGAGCATTGCAGTAGTCTATAGGGTTATATAGCATGTTATATATAGCACATATATAGCATATATATACCTATATATAGGGTATATAGCATGTTGCTGTCATCATGAAGTATATAGCAAGTTCAGAGCTTGGAAAATGTAATTGTACATTTTCAGTGGCCATGCTGGATGATGGACTCTGGGAGTTGTATTCCAAAATACCTTTGCCATGCCCTGTGAAACACATCTGAACTGTGAAACACACCTACGTAAACACACCTGAAGATCAGCTTAAGTCTTTAACAGCAGGCCCAAATTGATCAAATGTTTCCTTCTTCCCAATTCATAAGTGAATGTGTTCCCTCTTCTCCCAAACTCCCTAGTGCTGTGCCTGGGAGGAGGCAAAACACAATTGTGGTGAAAGTCCCGGGGCATGACGACAGTCACAATGAAGACGGGGAGAGTGGCTCCGAAGCCAGTGACTCGGTTTCCAACAGCGGTCAGTTAGGAAGCCAAAACATCGGGAATAATGTGACTCTCATCACGCTGAATGCTGAAGGTAAGCCAAGTGTTGGGCTAAATTTGGTTTGAGGGTCGATACCACAATAATATTTGCACTTGCATGCTGGGTGGACTCAATACCATTTTGAGGATTTCCAGAACTTTCAATTCCAAAAATATTTTATTAGAGATAAGACTTTTGAAGCTTGAAATTTATGTGCTTGCTAGGCAGTAGCATACTGTATTTTTGGTACTCCCTTCCAAAGAGAGAAATATGTTTTCAACTGTATTTCCAAGGCTTTGTTGCCCTTAGGAAAACCTTTACTGCCCTTTGAGTTCAGACAGCGCCATTGGCTCACCAACAATTTTGGACAGTGCAGTTGCAATGCAAAAGTTTTGAGCCATTCCCTGATTTTTTAATATTAGTGACTCTTAGAGCTTTGGCATGCCAATCTGGCCCACCCTCCCCCAGTTACCCCCCCCCCTCCCCGAACTAAAGAGTGATAGGAATTGGACAGCTTTCTAAAAGCTCACAAAATGGTCCTCTCGGCTGTGGTTTAGCGTCACTCAAGCACTGCTTTTTGCAGATTTTGAGGCAGCAGATGGTAGGAGCAACTCAGCCTCCTAAAAGCAATTTCCTACTTCAGTGTCCAGCTTTCTTTCATTACTTCTTCTTATGGGTCCAAACACTCTTTGCATTCCTGGCTGCATCCAGAACAGAATTCTTTTTGCCAAGAGACCCTGGAAGTCGCACAGATCAAGAGCACTTGATTTCAATTTCAAATGTATGTGTGTATGTATGTCAGGCTTTCAGAACGGTGACCTAATTCTGTGGTTGCGCCTCGGAGTTGAAACGCAGCCCTGCGAAAACAACTCCATCCCTTTAGGAAACAACATAATGTACCCGCATGCTCCCTCCTGCAATTCATTATGCCCTTCGATTAATGTGGAGCCCTTTGGAAAGTAAACACTGACTTTAGTAACTCTAAACAATAATTTTTGGAAACAGGAAATTCCCATAAAAATGTATTGTTTATAAGATAGCCTTGTCAGCATTTTCTCAGTTTCCAAAAAACCAACAAACCTCTCAGTTCTGCTCCTCAAATCTCAGAAAGAAAGAAAGAAAGAAAGAAAGAAAGAAAGAAAGAAAAAATAATCAGCGTTTCTGGAATGCAACCATTTGGAATATGTCTCTAATAATCCTCCCTTCTGTGAGTTGCATGTTGTGCTCATATATATTTCAAAATTGAAAATAGGTGCAACTATCAATTGAGCCACAGATGAATGGAAATGCCAGAAATATTAAAAATTAACTGGGTATTTTTGATTACAAAAGTGTGAGTCGAGCCCTGAAAGAATTAGTAGGCCGAAGCCTGTTAGAGTCAGTGGGCCAAAACTGCTGTCCTCCTGAGGATTGTGAGGTAAACCCCTGTGTGAGAGAAGCCTCGTGTGAGAAAGCTCTAGTGTGAAGGTTACTGTGTGTAAAGCTACTATTTCCCCTGCTTTTAAAGAGTTGTTCTCTATTTACTGTCTTGATTTTAGAGTTTTTTTAAATACTGGGAGCCAGATTTTGTTCATTTTCATGGTTTCTTCCTTTCGTTGAAATTGTCCACATGCTTCAAAAAAAACCCCTCTAAAATCAGGACAGTAAATAAAGAGCAGTACTCAAAAACAGGGGAATTCCAGACAAGAACCAATCAGGGCCAGCTAACACCTCCCAACAAAGGATTCCCCCAGGCAACAAGTAACCAGGCTTTGAAGCTGCAAGGCCATTACATGCTAATCAAGGTGGCCAGTTGCAACATTCACACTTGGCTCCAACAGACAAGAGTTCTTTCTCCCACCCTGGACTTTCCACAGATGTATAAACCTCACTTGCCTAGTTTCCAACAGACCTCACAACCTCTGAGGTTGCCTGCCATAGATGTGGGTGAAATGTCAGGAGAGAATGCTTCTGGAATATGGCCATACAGCCTGGAAAACTCAGAGCAACCCAGTGATTCTGGCCATGAAAGCCTTCAACAACACACGGGGAAACTGTTTCTAGGGACATCTTCTTGGTTTGCTTGTCAAATAATTATAAGAGTTGGAAGAAACCACAAAAGCCATCCAGTCCAGCCTCATCCAGCTATGGAGAATAATACGATCAAAGCCCTCTGAACAGATGACCATCCAACCTTTGTTTAAAGACCTCCAGAGAAGGAGATTCAATTGGACTCTTGGACATCATATTAGACTGTTAAAAAGCTCTTACAACCAGGAGATTGCTTTTCTGCCATTTGAACCAATTGCTCTGTTGTGTCCTAGTCTCTAGAGCAGCAGACAACAAACTTTCCCATTCCTCCTCAATAGGACACCCACTCTCATATTTAAACATGCCTGTCCTGCCCCTCTCAGCCTTCTCTTCTCCAAAGTAAACATACACAGCTCCCTAAGCCACTCCTCATAAGGCTTGACTCCCTAAATGTGTGATTTGTGCTTTTTATTTGCATCCTTCATTTTGATCTCAAGCAGGGTTAGGCAATCCTTTTGTCCAAAGTGCATGGTGTTAACATTGTCATCACGTATCCTGAGGTATTTTAATGCTCCAAGCAGAACTGTTTATCTCTTAGAGAGTAGGAGGCTTTCTCACAGCGTCATCACTTTGTCTTCTTGTAGCATTTGCGTGAAGACAAGGTGTAAATTTGTGTATATTCGAAGGCTATAAAACTCCAGCAGCTCCATTGAGATGTCTTTTTTTATTCGTTGCTCAAAGCTGAATCCAATTTTTTAATTTTCTCCCTTTCTCTTCAGTAAAGAGGCAGAACTTTCAAAGTTAAACTCCTTTGTTTTTCATTTTAATTTGTGGAGTGCTTTTTATAAAACCTCAGAAATGATGATTTTTTATTAGAAATAATTCTGTTTTTTGTGCACACATCTTGAAATTGCATCCTTTGCAGAAAAGTTGAGATATGAATGGGGTCTTCCCGCTCCCCATGAGAACCGAAACATTTTGTGTGCTGCGGTCAAATTTTCTAACTAGCAGGCAACTTTTAAAATGTTCTCCCACCAATATAAATATCAGAAAAGGCAATAATTTTGAGTAATCCTCTCGACTGTTTATTTAAGTGAAGCCGTTTCTAATGGGGTAAGAAGAGGTTGTCACAGTCTGACCTTTTCAACACCATTCTTTGGCAGGAGACCTTCAATGCAGACAGATGTTGGCCTTTTTATAGGATCCTTGTATATATAAAGACTGGTGAAAACTGCCTTTTGGGAGACCCATCCAGTAAAACCTCTTGCCGAGATTTATGGAGGCTTGGGGAATGAGGATTTGTAGCACGAATTACCCTCTGGCCATTGCCTCGGTCCCACCCTTGCGCTTCCGGCTTCGGAGGACAAGAAGTGGCTTTGCTCTACTGGGGAGGAGAAGGGAAATATAGCAGTTCCCTGTCGAGTTGCTTTTTAACATTTATACTATGCTTTATGGTGCCTGTTGCAAGAGGTTTCTCAAGGAGGAATGGCTAGAGCAGTGGTTCTCAACCCTAATGCTGCAACCTCTTAATACAGTTCCTTAGGTTGTGGTGACCCCCAAACATCAAATTATGTTCGGAGCTACTTCATAATTGTAATTTTGCTCCTGTTATGAATTGTCGTGTAAATATCTCATATGCAGGATATATTTTCATTCAACTTATATCAACTTATATCCCCACACCAAAAAAGGGAAATGCTAAAGACTGCTCAAACTTTTGTACTGTGGCATTTATTTTACATGCCGGTAAGGTAATGTTCAAGATCCTGCAAGGAAGACTCCGCAATACATGGAGAGAGAGTTGCCAAATGTACAAGCTGGGTTTAGATACGGCAGAGGAACGAGAGACCAAATGGCCAATATCCGCTGGATAATGGAGAAAGGCAGTGAGTTTCAGAAAAACATCTATTTCTGTTTCATTGACTATTCTAAAGCCTTTGACTGTGTGGATCATAACAAATTGTGGCAAGTTCTTGGTGGGATGGGGACACCAAATCACCTTGTCTGTCTCCTGAGGAATCTGTATAAGGACCAAGTAGCAACAGTAAGAACTGACCATGGAACAACAGACTGGTTCAAGATTGGGAAACACGTATGGCAGGGTTGTATACTCTCACCCAACCTATTCAACTTGTATGCCGAACACATCATGCGATGTGCGAGGCTTGAAGAATATAAGGCTGGGATGAAAATTGCTGGAAGAAACATTAACCTTAGATATGCAGATGATACCACTTCGATGGCCGAAAGCGAGGAGGAGTTGAGGAGTCTTCTAACCAAGGTGAAAGAAGGAAGTGCAAAAGCTGGGTTGCAGCTAAACATAAAAAAACCAAGATGATGGCAACCAGACTTATTGATAACTGGCAAATAGAGGGAGAAAACGTGGAGGCAGTGACAGACTTTGTATTTCTAAGTGCAAAGATTACAGCAGACGCAGAGTGCAGCCAGGAAATCAAAAGACATATTGTCGAAGACTTTCATGGCCGGAATCACTGGCTTGTTGTAGGTTTTTTCGGGCTATATGGCTAAGGTCTAGAGGCATTCTCTCCTGACGTTTCGCCTGCATCTATGGCAAGCATCCTCAGAGGTAGTGAGGTCTGTTGGAACTAGGAAAAAGGGTTTATATATCTGTGGAATGACAAGGGTGGGACAAAGGACTCTTGTCTGCTGGAGCTAGGTGTTAATGTTTAAACTGACCACCTTGATTAGCATATAATGGCCTGACAGTGCTTGGAGCAAACTATTGTTGAGAGGTGATTAGATGTCCTTGTTTGTTTCCTCTCTGTTGTTGTGCTGTTGTAATTTTAGAGTTTTTTAATACTGATAGCCAGATTTTGTTCATTTTCATAGTTTCCTCCTTTCTGTTGAAATTGTCCACATGCTTGTATATTTCAATGGCTTCTCTGTGTAGTGTGACATAGTGGCTGTGAGAGTGGTCCAGCATTTCTGTGTTCTCAAATAAAATGCTGTGTCCAGGTTGGTATTTTATTTTACTTATTTATTTTATTTGTTGTTAATGTTGTTTCCGCTTTGTGTTGTTTGCT